CCGGTTTCTTGAGGCTACTAATAAATAAAAGACCGATCACTATTCGTAAAAATCCGTTAGTATTCAGAGATTCCATTGCACATTGTGTGTAATTATAGTTATAAGTTAAGTACTTATTCTAAGACATTATTTTGTCACCGTAAACATTGTAGCTAATCATAGACTTCAAGATTTGAGTGCTCCAAATTAATAAATAGTGAAAACGAGGAAGATTTCTCGTGCTATTTGATGAACTTGTAATCTAGTTTGATGACTTGATGAATGATGTTGTGCTTACAGACGCTGTAAGAAAATGTGTGTAATGCATACTTTGAGTTATCTATATAAACCAAATGACCACAAAACCGGATTAAAGGCAATGCCTTACCGCTAGCATGATACGAGGACCAACGTACATTCGCGTGCTTTTTTATGTGAGTGACTATCTTCCATCGATATTTATGTTTACTGTCCACGATAATACATGGTAGTAGGCTCTATTCCATATTACGCTCTTCATTAAGACTTTACCGGTATCGCTTCAAATCACATTTTATCAAATCAATTTCTTTCAATTGGTCAATATGCCTAATTACTTCTTCCGACAGGTCGCCCCTTTTCGTCGCCATATTGAACGCAGCTCGTTTCGGTGCATAGTTCTCTAACAGCGCCAATATGCGTAGTCGCTGGGTTGATTCGCTCAAGCGCGGCATCTCTGCGTCTCCCCGACTAGATGAGCCTTCTCCACAGCGTTCTAATGCCACATCTGCACCAACACCAACTTCTAGAATGTCTTCTGTATCGGCTCCAAGCCTCAATGGCACAGAAAATTCCGCCTTTCGTCACAACACTGACCGCTGTGACTGTGTCGGCACTTGCACTGTTGCACGCGTGCTAGAGAATTGTGTGCTGCAAGGTGGTATACACCACACTCATATGCATGTGCTGACGTACTTGGGACGGCCTTTGCGGTCGGAATGCTGCTGCTACCCTGTGGCTATCCAGTGGTTTCGAGCTGTAGGTGATCAGGACAACTTTCAGGTCATTCCTGGAGCTTGCGACGAGTGGTACACACCTACGGCTGATGATATTGGCGCTAGGATACTTGTCAAAGTCATGATTGAAGACGAAGACGAACTGAAAACTAAGATGCTAGAGTACGGACCAATTAAAGAAGACCCTGAGGTTCGCAGTAAAGTCGAGATGTATCTAGAGCGTAAGTCGGTATTATTTATGGGAATTCAAAGCATCTCGATGCAAGACGGCAGTGAATATGTTAACGAGGAGGAAATGAGAGTACGACTTCCGGGTAACGAAAACGAGCAAGAAGTCGACTAACGTCGTGTTAATTTATCTACAGGAAAGCTGGACACTATTAATTGACGATCGAAGAGTACGATTAACGTGTGAATCATCGCTCATTCCGCCCTTCGAAAGCTTATATACGTCAGATGTACAGGTCTGTCAATCTCTTGTTATTTTTGCTTAAAATGCCTGAAGATGTTACTTAACTGTAGCTCGAAATGGTACGCGGTACTCCAAATGAGTTTTATCTTCATTTGGCTGCAGGCTGCTATGTTCGACTACGAGCCGAGTCTAATACGGTGCGGGATATTATCGTTCTTACTTTACGTGCATTCTGCAAGATGGCAGTGGCAGATGAAACAACACACGACGCGTTGGCTCGAGGCTTGTCGCCAATGCTCACGCTACGAAAGATTGCGCAAGAGGACGAAACAAAAAAGCAGCGAGTAGGTGTTAGTGCAAACTTTGGCGGATTGCTGGGATTGAGTTGCATGCTGAGGTTGTACACGCCTTCTCTTACTTTCGACCAGCAGACGCAGGAACTTGCTCCACCAGACTACGAATTGCCATGGAATCGAAGGACGAGTCAGGCTTTCAGCTCAAACCCACCGGAATCGACCGCCACCAGTACAGTCGTTGAAGAGCTTGATGAGTCGCCTAGCTCAAGCCGGCGACCGAGTGAAGCAAGTAGCATTGGGAATGATACTTGGCATCCAGTTGAAGGTATCGATGACTCTCTACTCATGGATGCTGAGGCTCTGATTGGCAATGCTCACAAGATGGGAATCCAGTATCAGATGTTACCTCGCGCTTCAAAACGTATCTCAATTCTCGATATCCCTGACTTGCACATTATTGAAGCCATGGAACATCTCAGCGAACGAATGTTTCCGGTAAGTTCAAATTGTAAGGAGGAAGACAAGATACGACAGCGAGTGCTGCGTCGTCGAGGAAGCACTGGCGACTCGAGTGATAGTGAGTTAGAGAGTCGTTTAGGTAGTGGCAGCAACGCCGGCGGAAGCGTTGTTGCAGAAATGCCAGAAATGATAGATGCAAGTTGTATAGATAGAGCGATTGAAGAATTTATGGCAAGTGACAACAAGGACCGAATGGACGTGAAGACACTAAAGGAACGCTACGTTGCGATCTTTTGTGCACTGCAGCGCGAGCTGAATATGTACAAGCAGCGAGTTGAGACTTTACTCAAGCAGCAAGAGGAGAAAGACGAGGTTATTATAAGTCTGCGGAACGACATTGAGGCCTTACGCAGCGCTCTGACATCTATGCAACTTGCTGATAAGGTGTACGACTTGGTCTCAACAGACTTGCAACAACTTGTCAAGCGTACTGCTGTTGACGCAACAGTTGTCCCTACCATTTCGTACGGATAAAATTATATATGTGCTCCATTCAACGTCAACAGTGTACACTGTTCTTAGTTTTTTAGATTTGTACCCTACTGAAGTAGTAAGCGAATCTCAGAATTTTTCTTCCTATCTTCACCGTTACTACCTGTAGTCAATCGATCATCTACTGTCTCTTCTCCAGCGCTTCAATCCTCTTCGTAAGCGACGCATTCTGTGCAATCATTTCATCCTTTAAATTTCCCACAGAGTGCTGAATCTGCTGTGTGGACTCTTCCACGTCTTCAGACAGTACGTAAAGTCCATATCCAGCTCCCACTGCCACACCAACACCGAACGACATGATGCGCTGCATAAACGAGCTTCCACCTTTTTTTACAACAATTGGAGCAGGCGTAGAGATGGACTTTGCAGCATCTTCCTTGGCGTCTGAGGCAAAGTAGCGCACAAGACGCCGCGACTTGGTCACTTGGCGCAGCATTCGAGTTTTGATTTTGTGAGGCGAGAGATTAAATGTTCAAACATTGTCGCAAAATGTGTATATTTGTGATATAGTCTACAGCAACAAATCACGTAATCTAAAATTCATTTCGTATAGCCGACAAAATGGCAACATCGGATTGTGACGTATGCAGCTATTTAGCAACATGTAAAACATCGTGTGGGTTCCTTGCTTTTCGAGCAGGTTTAGCACGTGTTAAAATTAATGCACTAAAAGCTGCATGTGAGCATCAAATTGGACCGAAGAGTGTCTTTGGAATGCAAGTACGAGACCAATTCATCGACTTGTTGTGGGAAAGTTGCCTGGCAGCGCAGAGAAAACAGGTGCCGGTTGTAACAACCACGATCCCAAAAAGGGTCAATGTCACCACGATGCAATTAAGCGAACCCAGTTTTAAAAAGAAAAAGACTGAAATGGGACCAGTAGATGTGACTGTCACCATGGGTGACATTCAAGTAGTCTCGTCACCTTTTGAGAAAGAGACAACAGCGACTCACTTGGTACTATCGAATCTTGAGAAAGAAGCCGAGCGATTGCGCGCTGACAACCAAAGGTTTGTTGAAAACTTCCAGCAACTTGTCGAGAAGCAAGAGCAACTTGAAAACAAATACGCTGAACTTGCACTGCATGTCAAGCGGTTGCAGTCTCAACAGAATGTGTACGATCGTCTCGTGTGCACTGTGTACGACAAGCAGCAATCTTTTAATAAGAAACCTAATTAACTTAAGTACCATTTCTACAGTTGTAGGTATTTTTGTTTTTGTCGTTCCGACAAATTGAATTCCGTTACTCTTTTCAAGAAAAGGGGTTGAAGAATATTTGTAAGGTGTCGATTTCATGTTAAGATGCAGTCGACCGGAAGCAATATTGGAGCGGATTTGACACAGTTGCAACGGGAATACCGCAATATGGAATTGAATCGAAAAGTGTATGCGGAGGAGACTCACCAAGTGATGCGGCGACAACAAATGGTGATAGAAAAACTTCGTAAGGATAATGAAGACATGAAGGCCGAACTAAGTCTGGCAGAGCGTCATTTGAACGAAGGGGCAATCGCTCAACAACAAGAACAAGTCAATCGTTTGCGCGACCAACTTGACAATTACAATCGTAAGAATATTTGCGAGGCAAAGAGGTTGGAAACTTTAACGCAGCAGATCCAAATAATGCGACACAAAGTGTTACACCAAAAAAAACACATGGGTGGCGTTAATGCTGCGAAAGAGAATCAACAAATGGTACACAAACAGATTCGGATTCTTGAAAATCGCTTGGACAAGTCGTTAATGAAATTTAATGAGACTCTCGCACAGAATAAAGTATTGCGTGAAGAAATTGACAACTTGAGAAGAGAGCGGGTGGTGTTTGATACTATTTATCGCAAATTAGAGCGCGAACATGGCGAAAAGAAGCGGCAAATGGCTCAAACAATTGAGTCAAGCAACCAAGTCTACGAACAGCGCGACGCTGCGCAAATTGAGTTGCGATCTCTTCAAGATGAAAGCCGTGCTGAACTTGATATACATCGACGAGCATTGTCCGAATTGACAAAAAAGCTGGAAAAAAGTAAAGTTCATGCAAGTGGTTCAGCGAAGCATCGACGTGGTTTTTTGAATGGTGAAAGTGCTGGAATTGTGGCATTTGAGGATGAAATTGAGACGAAGCAGAAGAAGCAAAAGGGGACGTGGGGGATGGCGAAGGAAGAGGTGCATGTTCAAGTCTCAATTGAACGTGTGCAGAACTTTGAAGATGCATTTTTGAAGATCAGAGCAGCAACTCAAATCAACGATCTGGATCAACTTGTGACTTCTTTCATCAAGAAAGAAGACCAGAATTTTTCATTGTTCAATTATGTCAACGAACAAAATAATGAGATTGAGAAGCTTGAAGAATGGAATGAACTACTTCGTGACGAAGAACGTGGTCTGAGTGGCAACACTGACTCAGCAACTGAAATTAGAGAAGGTAAAAACATCAGGCAGCATAAACAGGTGCTGTGTGATCTCGAGACGCGACTTGCGCACACCGAACAGGCGGCTGAAAAGTGCGAAGCTCGTTGTGCTGAAGCGCAACAGCGTGTTGATGCGATCAAAGGTGCCATTCACCATTTGTTTACGAAGATTGAGTGCAATACTCATCTGATGGTTGAATTGGTGGGGGATTCAAATGTTACTGATGCCAATTTGATGACTTATTTGGGTGTCATTGAGCAAAAGACAAACGAAATTTTGCAACAATACGCTGCACTTGTTGCCATAGATGTTCAATCGAACAAAGTCCAAAGTGATATTCTTGATCAAGCAGCTTCAGTAGCAGTTGGTGCTGCAGGTGGCACGAACGGAGCTGTCGCAAAACTACACTCGATTCTTGGCGTTCGGCCAATTGCTCCTATGGGACAAGAGCCATTGCAGATCAATCCGCCTAACTTAAACGATTACTCGTCAGATGAAGGCGACACGGATGATGGGATGCATCCCTTCACCCGAGACGAGCTGAAAGCTCGCACGCTTAAGGGTATGCGTCGCACAAATCACGCAAATGTTATGCAATCAGGAACCACTAGCAGCACAAATAATCATACCAAGAGAGGGGTTGCAAGCATGGCTTGTGTAGATCACTCAAAGAGCCGCAAATAATTTCATTCTTGCCAAATATTACTATCACGTTCGTGCATTTTGCGGGGTTTCAAGCTTTACCTTGTAATATTGTTGTTCCACGAAAAGCATTGTTCCACTCCAATGCCTTATTGGTCTATTCAGCTTCGCAATAGAGATAAAGTCTTGAAAATGGCACTCTTACATCTAAATGCACTGCACAGAAAGGGCAAATGGCGCGACCATTTGGCATGAGCAAAGCTGAATAGTGATGCGCAAGTTTTGTACTGATGGCATGACCACATGGATTGAACACACACTCAGGAATCGCGTGCTGCTCTTCTGTCGACTGAAATTGCGAATTCTCTTTCAGCAACAGCTGTACAAGGGATCCTGGCGTTCGACAAAGGGGACATGTGTGCGAATTAGCAATTCGTTCTTCATACCCAAATACATGTCCACACGCCGAAAAAACATGCGGTATCTGGTCAAGAGGGACTTTTTCTCCCGGAGCTGTGCGACTGAACCGCAAGGTATGCAGTTGAACTGGACACTGGACATTTAACCGTTCTAGTTGCGTACTAATGGACGATAATGTCGCTCGTCTATAGACAATTGGTGTTTCCAAAAGATCATTGCCCTCCACATTTCTCTCAAGTTCCGAGCGATATGACGTTTGAAACTGTAGTTGCACACCTCCAAGATCAATCACTGCCCCATCAGTTAAAATAGGTAGAATCTCTCGAGCACCAGTTGCTGGTCGATTAAATGCACCACTTCGCGATTGCAAAGTCACGCCATTTCGTCGTCGGTCTAAATTTGTGCTCGATGGTGTATTTAAAGATGTTTCTGCAGCTTTTGACTCAATGGAATACAATCTTCCATTCACAGACACTTCGAACCATTGTTTGTGAGCTGGAAGCCACACACGAACCCCATTTTTCGTCAATCCATCAACAGGCAGCTCTCTTGCCTCCTGAATATCCACTTGGAAGTGCTCTAGAGATCCAACTTCACTCGTTTCATCAATATAATGTTGTACTGTATTAACCGCGTGATTGTTGCCATTTTGGCCCATGACTTTGTCCACATTTTGTGACTGCTGCATCAATGTTTTTACGACACACATATGATCAGACCCCAATCGTTTCGACCAGACACCACACCGTGCGCAGTGTTTTAGTGCATGACCAGCTGTGCTCATCCGTCGAGCAGCATCGAAACCTCCTGCAAAGATATAACACTCATATGGTGGCTCACGTGAGCACAAAATTCTCGCTGCATAGCGTGATATCGTTCCGGACGCCCCAACACGTGGCCCAGGGATTACAAAGTCGTTTTGGGCGCATGGCATGCGACCAATTTGAAACATATCAAAATTGGGGTCTGCATGAAATTCTGTGACACTGGTACATGGGTCTCGATCATTCATAGGAAGACACAGCAGGTATGACAAGACTGATTCGCCTTCAGATTGGTTGTTAACGGCCCGCGCCGTCTCGATACGTTGCATGATGCGTGTGGTTACATTCTTGAGGTCTTTCGCTCGATGTTTCTTATGCTCTGGAACCGGAAAAACGTAATGAAAACGACGCAAACGCACGCCGTTAGCTCGTGCTCGCTTTTTAAGCACGTAATGCGCATTCTGACCACCCAGCGGCTTCCACAGTTGGCCGAGCGAGCGTTTGCGACTCAAAGACGCCTCGTCGTTAGCATCTGCGAGACCAAATGAGGACGAGATCAAGTCCGTACTTTCATTGGGTGGATGACGAACCATGTCCACGCGGTAGCTGCTGTAGCCGAGCACAACAAAGCGTCCATATTCCATCCGAAAAATAAATGGGATGGCAGAGTCGATAAATTATTTGTATTTGTATGCAGGATGGACTAACTTTTATCAATATCGGGTTAGGTCACAACATGTACATTATTATTCAATCTTACGTTATCGTGGCCTTGATAAATTCCGGCCCATGATTTTTTGTCTTCATGACTATGGAGGAACCTCGTCAAGTGAATGTGACTGAGAAAACATATCGCTGTGAAAAGTGTCGTGTTCTTCAGAAGCCTCAAAGTCGACCGGCGCTTCCTGAAGCTTTTCAACGACCTGTGAAAACCGCATCAGCGTGTCCTGCATTATAAGTTAGACATGAATTAAGTTTTAGTTTGTACATAATTCTACCATAATGGCAATGCTCTTGAGCTCCATCGTCTGATCAATTCGCACTGAATTTCGTGGCCCTGAAGCCATGGAGCGTCTGGATGTAATCAAAATCTTACAGCCTTTGGAAGTCGAGCTGCTACCTAAAATGTCGTCCGAGGATTTAAATGTTTTTTCCAATGTGCGTTGAAAATTTAAAATTGTGAGCTTCATGCTCTCGAACTCATGGACAATCACCAAATGCTCCGGTGACAGCGCAAAAGGTTCAGGTTCGCGAGCTGCGGGAGGCTTTGTTACTTGCTTTTGTTGCGACAAGATGGTCATCGTGTTGTTTGTATGCCATGACACCGACGAACCACCCTAAGTATACGTACGACAAGTGAGCAGCAAATCGCTTTTTAATTTCTCAAGTTTTCCCCACCTGTTTGACAATCATTTTCTCCATGTGTTTTTCGTATAAGGCGTAAAATTGTTTGCCAACCAGCGATAATGGCATCGCTGAGTAAATAGTAGCAACGATGATGACAAATATGTCAAAGAACTTGCCAATCGAAGTTCGTGGCACGAGATCGCCATAACCGACCGATGTCAATCTGTAAGCACATTGCTTCATGTTAATACATTATGAAATTACGATATTTACGATGCCTTACGTAGTATACGAGAGCCAAGTTGAGTGAATCATGTCAATGATTGTCGATTTTAAACGATCTTGAATCAAAATTCGCTTCCCAAGTGGAAGTCCATATGCCAGCTCGGGTGTGAGAACGTTTTCGTCCCACCACATACAAATTTCCCCAACAAAACATTCCTTGCCACGTTCAATCTCGTAAAATAACGCGCCAGCTATGATACATCCTGTAAATAGGAAAAAGAGCTATGACGATAAATCGTGAGTTCAAATAAGTTTAATGTGGTTATAAAAACTAACCGGAATGACGAGAGGTTTCCAAATTCGCATCGCCGTATACACTAATAATTTTGTGCCACGGAAATGCTATACAAAAGAGGATGTGTTAAATTCAACTACAACCTGATTAAAAACTAACTATTTACCCTTGTAAGCTTGAGGATGCGCAAAATCTTAAGCATACGAATAGTTGAAGAAAAGGACGGTCCTGCGGCAACAATGGCGAAGTCTGGCTGTATACGCGTGACAATCAGTTCAAACACCTCACTGATAAACGGTATGATTGCAACGACATCAAAAATGACGTAGACATTTCTCCAAAATTGTTTCCAGTTAGGCGATACATAAAATCGAAGTACCAGCTCTAATGTAAACACAACACCAAGCCACCATTCAAAGAATATCCAATATGGCCCCATGTCAAAGATCATGCGATATGTCGCCCGACATTGTGGGCGATAACACACACTATTAACACCCGCTGAAAAAAAAACATCAACACACGCCAGTGCGGATGAATCCAAAGAGCCGAAATTTAAACCATTTCCATAGCAAGTCCTGGACTCAGTTTCACGGAAGCAGGAGAAACTAATTTGTTGAGTGAAATCACTTGATCCATTATTAGAGCGCAAAAAACAGGCAGGGTCCATAGCATTCACCCCAGTGTCCCGGCAGTAACTTTTAGCAACGGCTTTGCAGCCGCGGGTTTCCACACCACTAGCTGCTAGCTCACGAAGGGATTGTGAAAAAAATAACATGGTACTGAATAGGGCGACTGCAATGATCGTTTGATTCACTACGCTAGCAAAACGTGACGAATCTGGTACTTCGAGAAGCAACCAAATCCGTCCTCGAAACGTTTGTGAAGCGGTACTTGGGTCCAAAATGACTGGATGATGGGCCGAGAGTACCCTCGCCTTTGTCATAGCTCTCTTTGCCGTTACATACATCTTTCCCAGCACACCGTGACCATCAGAAGTCAGGTCTGTGTTGAAGGTTGTTCTCTGTCGAGGAATAAATAATCGCAGCAACTGAATAGCTTCTGAGTGGGCCTCTAGCAAACGGTTAGTACCCTCCTTAATTGTTTCCAGGTAATTCCTTTCGAGCTCCAGCAAATTTACAGTCAATGTAATGGATCGGGAGGCTATACGCGTGATTTCGAGAATATTGCTGTGTGTACCAGACCAAACATTCAATATTTGGTACTGAATATCACAAAGTCGCTTTGCGTGAGTGTGGAATGTTTGAGAATTAAAAGGAACGAGTGATGCATCAAGAAATCGAGCTTTCTTTTTCTTTTTGGTCAGCTGAAAGCTTTCGTATGTCAGCTGGAAGTTGTTCCCAATGATTGCCACAGGCATGGAAAAATAAATCTGCCCAAGAATCATGGCAATCATTGTAAGTATCAGTGACCCCGGATTTTTCAAGGATGGCACTTGGTTGCCGTAGCCGACAGTTGCAACCCTGATACAGCTCAAGATTAGTCAATAGAATTGTAAAAATGCGTATAAGACACGTACGTGACCATGACAAAGTATGCAGCGTTGAATATGTCAGTAAATGTGCAAGTCTCAACATTAAAACAGGGCTCAGCGTAATAAATGGCTGTGGCCAACACCATAACCAAGGTAAAGAGAAAAAACATAGTGATGCTTAAAGGACGCAAACTAGCCTTGATAGCTTGATAAATAATCTCTGTCTGCTCGTAATGACGCAATATGGAAGCCAGTCGAATGGTACGAACAAGTCGGAGTAAATTCACTTTCGAATCGAACCCTTCAGCTCCAAGAGCTTTCAGCAATTGTGAAATATACCATGGTGACAATCCAATCAAATCAAACCACATACATGGATCTCTGACCAGACTTCGGATTTTTCTTGTCTTAAAGATACGTCCAAGAAACTCCAGGGTGTAAACTCCCGTGAAAAAATTGTCGCAAACAACGTGAAATTCCTTGGATGGCAAGTAAGGGTACCCCGGATCTGTACTTCCAAAGTTTGGCCCATCACATGTTTGCATGGCAAGAGCTGCAATCCCTGATAGAATGAGAACAAAAATGGCGATGTTGAGTCGCCGACCCCAGAGTGACACTGGAGGCAAGAAAAACAAATATTCGATCTCTTTTTTTGTGCGAAAGTAGACCATGTGATAAATGGTAGGATCACCTGTGTGCTGTGTCTTTCGAGCGGGTTTCACAGCCTGAAGATTTTTTGACGATACATAAATTTTCTGCACTGTCATTCTGGTTTTCACTACTGTTTCCAGATTAGTATCGAGGCTGGTATCGCTCTCTGGTGCGTCGCTGAAGATGCTATCCGAAAAAACTGGATGAACTCTCGAAAGCCGAGGCTGATCATTTCCAGAGCTTATTCGCTTAAACGACAATCGCGTCGAAGAGGGACCATTTTTTTCATCTCCCATCACGACATTTTCACTTGCATCCGTTCCCGATGGTGTCATTGTCGTAATATGGTTGCGCATATTTACCTCGGCCTTCTGTGGCGTGTAATTATTAAGTCTGGATATACTCAATCTACTTGTCGAGGGAGCTGATTCATCTCTCTCTGAATTACAAGTGAATGGCTGTTCGCTTTCTTCTTCATAAGCAGAAATTTCCAACTGTCCAGGTAATATCGCTCTCTTCGAATTTTCTGGCTGTTTATCAAGACGAGACACTGCCGTGTAACTTTCATCGGACATTGGACGCCACTCTGATAGTAATTCGATGTCTCCAGAGTCTGTGTGGCCAAGCTCCCGAAGTCAAAACTTTTTTTGCTCAGGGCTAATGACGACGTGCATGAAGCTGCTTACACACGTCTGTGTTGTGTAACGTCGTAAAAAGGCTCTGCGCGGCGTAACGCTTTACCTTGCAAGTAAAAATACGCTTACTTCAATGCACTGACCATCACTCTTTATTTATAAATATATATTTCTATTTTATAAAGGGTTATTTCTTACGAGCATGAGGTTTTTTGTGTGGCTGGCTGAGCTGGTTCACTGAGTGCCTCCATTCGTGCGCTTCCGCATTGATCTGCCTCACTTGTAGCACTGGACATACGTCGTCATGGCAAGCGACAAGAGCCTGAAGATGAAAGTCAGAAAGAGTAAGACCTGCGTCAGCAAGTGGCCTTCTACAAACCCGTCGTCTTGTTCGCGCTCGGTGCCTGCAGCAACGTACGTCTGCCCAGTAATCTACTATTGCATTCATTTATACTCACACATATTCTTTCTATGCACATGCAACAGTAATGAAAAATTGCAGAACCTCGTTTCGCCGCATCTTGACTCTTTTAACTTCTTTTTGACCGAAGGGCTAGACTTAGCGGTTGCCGACATGTGCAAAGTGCCTGTGGAA